AAAAAAAAAAAAAAAAAAAAAAAAAAAAAAAAAAAAAAAAAAAAAAAATCAGAGCAGAGCGAAATGAAGTTTTCCAAGTAAAAGCCGTGAGCCGAGCTCGGAGCCGAGCTCAGAGCCTCCTCGTTGACCTCAATGGGGTTTAGTTGCCCAGACGGGATGGCGGTCCGGTCCTTCTTTGGCCCCAATTGATGACTTCGACTAACTTCCACTTGATTCCCTATAGGGTCCATGGACCTTAATTCCACTCCGTCATCCGTACTTTCTCTCCAGAAATTGACTTGGCAAGCCACAAGTTCAAAGCGGTAAATGGTCTTATATTCCGTACCGTACCCACACGGAAGACAGGGGGACAATTGGCGAAAGTAAATTATTGTTGTTGAAGCGCTGTCTGAAGGGGTATTTCACGATGTTTGGGAAGTGATTGCATTCCAACGTGCATCAAACATTGTTAATGATGCTTCAAGATGGGTCCGAACAGTGTTCCATCGATCACATTTTGTCCCAAATTCATCGAGATAGTGTAGCGCTGCCCTGAAAACAAAGGCCCGACTCGGTGGTAGCGTATCCATCTCTGCGAGGGTCATACTGTGTTGAGTAGTAGCGATATCCTTCACCATCTGAGTGGCTGTCTCGAGTGCAATTTGGGAGCTCAAACGCGCAACCCCAGTTGCGCTGTGGATCACTTTTTGGTGGAGAATGAAGAGCGCCCTATTCAGCCATATTGGGATTAGCCATCGCTTCTTGGAGACACCGTTAGATGACACGCATACCTAAAGATGATTGCGTTCGCTGTGCAGAATAGCCCCCATCGGCCCTCGGATTGATCCATTGTCAACGCTAGACATCCTCGTAAAGAGTAATCCAGCTTATCGAGCTGAGCCAATCGGACATCGACATCCCGCTCTTCGGAGGCCTTGAAGACCTGATCCAAAAGCCATACGGCCTGGGTCACCCTAGCCAATCCATCGCAATCGTCAACGTATGGACATCTTCGAGAAACGGCATCGGTGAGTAGATCCGAGTCCCATTCCAATGACACGGGCTCCTTTGGTAGTGAAATCTCTCCCTCTGGAAAGCGGGAAATGATGGGCTGTTGAACAATGTCCGCTTCGCATAATATGGTCCTGCTATGGCCTTAGATTTCGGATCTCACACAAGGTAATACGATTCGAGATCTAACCTTTCGGTGATCACAACACCCCACCAAGTATTATTTTTCTCTGCCACTTGGGAAGAATGATCAGATCCTTCCGTCAAGCTGAGAAGGTGGAGGCCAGTAGCATAGCCCATCCGGGCGCAGACGCTAATAGAACAAATAGCTTCATTAATCCTTCGAGTGGCATATTCATAACTAGCGATGATGATACCAGCTTGGACAAGAAGTAGAGAATCCGGAAAAGAGGCCAGTGCCTGGGTGTACAGCGATTTTGTAGTTAAATAGAGGGTCGCTTGATCAACAGCAGAGCTAGATGCGACCAGACTAGGGTGGTACGTTACCAGGGCCATCGACAATAGCAGTACGGAGAATGTCGCGGAGGGTAGCGCCGCCGAGTGGACCAGTTGTTCATGGAACCGCGGGGCCGATAGTATCGGTATGAAAGAATGCATTCCTCGGAAGTATCGGAGGCAGATTTCGTCTATAGTTTGATCGGTCAAGTGAATGATCCGGAGGATTTGCAGATACACTGTGGAGTGGAGGCTTGTTGGTTCACCTTGCAAGACAGCTGACAAAGTCTCCGCTAGGAGCAAGGACGAGCCGATGACAGGACTAGGGGTCACCGGTAGGCGTCTTAATTGCGGGTATTTTGCATCTATGGAGGATTGACAGTCCAAGTTCTTTCTGTAGCCGTATTAGGAATTATCAAAAATGTCAATGTGAGCGTAGACGTACCGGGCGCAGTATCCACAGCGCGGCCGCGCTTTGTCGCATTTCTTCTTGCGGAGCTTACAGTTCACACAGACCAGGTTCGATGTTCCTGTAGGCATGATGAATGATGAATATACAACAGAGGGTCCAAAGGAGTTGTATCTGATCAAGCAGATTAGATCAAATTCACCTGGTTTAAGTTGAAGCAGGGGGCGATGTTGTCACAAAGGAGGCATAGCGGCGCCGAAAAGTGGACCTCGTCCTGGCCCATCCGGAGTCCGGTCGGATCAAATAAGGCATTTTTTGATTTTGTCGGCCGCCTGTGGGCCTCACTGAGCTCCATTGGGTACGTACCTTGTGAATTGTGTCGGCCGCCTGTGGAGAACGTAAACGGCTCGTAGATCGCATCGGCCGCCAGTGGATCGTGTCGGCGACATGTGGATGAGAAAGAACAAATCGTCAACACCCTCAAAGAAACTACTAACTCTGATTCATTGCATTTTGTAGCAAACTAATCGCTGGATTTTTATATAAGACGCGATGACGGTTTCAATAAAGAGATCAACTTCCAATTCTGACTGCTTCACCCGTCAACGTCGTGATGTCTTCAAGCAACACAAGTAATGAGGCCTTTAAAGAGGTTGACACATTTCATGGGGCGGAACGCTCCGAGAGGAATGATCCCGTTGTCACTGCCACCAAACCAGATCTCCCTCCAGAAGGAGGCACTCGTGGATGGATTTGTGTGGTTGGGGCATTCATATGCTTATTTTGCACTTTCGGCTTTTTGAATGCGTGAGTGTGCATCGATAATGATCAAAATCTTGGAGATTGCCTATGGCTGACTTCTCGCAACGCTGAACAGAATCGGTGTCTTCCAGACGTACTATGAACAGCATTCTCTGAGCAGCTATAGCTCTTCCGATATCTCATGGATCTTTGCGGTCCAATTGTGTTTGATGTGGGCCATGGGCCCCCTCTATGGCCGTCTTCTCGATACCTTCGGTCCTGGCCCGGTGCTTTACCCGTGCAGTGTACTCTGCGTGTTCGGTCTATGCATGACAAGCCTGGCAGATGAGTACTATCAAATTTTTCTTTCGCAGGGAATTGTTTTTGGAATCGGTGCCGGAGGTGTGTTCACATCTGCGATGGTTTGTGTTGGCCAATGGTTTGTCCAAAGACGAGGGTTGGCTCTCGGTATCACGGCGTGTGGCTCGAGCTTAGGTGGTGTCATTTTCCCTTTCTTCCTGAATCGTATCGTTGAGGAGAAGGGCTTCTATGGTGCTGTCCGCTACACTGCTTTGTTCATTGGTATTCTGTTGACGGGTTCTTGCTTTATGGTGCGATCCAGGCTGCCGCGAAAAGCATGGAATGGCAAAGCGCAGTGGTTCGACTTTACTTTATTCAAGGAAAAGCAATTCGCCCTATACAGTCTGGGCGCCTTCTTTTTTATGTACGTTTGTACTGCCAAATATGTCTGACCGGATATGTTGCTTACTTCGGAATAGGTGGGGACTCTGGGGTCCATTTGATTACCTCCCAAGCATGGCCCAGGCAGAGGCTGGCTTCTCTTCGGATCTTGCACTTTATCTGATCTCAATCATCAAGTGAGCTTCCCTGTCCAATCAGCTGACTCAAGACTAAACAAAAAACGCAGTGCGACTTCCATACCCGGCCGTATCATTCCTTCCCATATCGCAGACCATATCGGTCATTTCAATGTCGTCACCGCGTGCGCATTAACGACTGGAATCTCAATTCTCTGCCTCTGGCTACCCTTCCACTATTACCCGTCCCATGCAGGACTGATCGTTTTCGCCCTCGTTTATGGATTCGTGTCAGGGGCCGTTGTCTCGTTGATCATGCCCTGCGTTGCCAAATCCGGGAAGCTGGAGACACTAGGTGTCCGATTCGGAACATTCCAAATGGTCGTCGCTCTCGGGTATGTTCTCCTGTCCTTTCACATTCTGTGTTCGAGGTTGTTTGCTAAATCTTGTCTAGTTGTCTGACTGGCCTTCCTATAATGGGCGCGATTCTGAAGAATCAGGGTGGAAAGGACTTCGCTGGGCTGCAAATCTTTGGTTCGGTTTCTGCGCTACTTGGCGCGAGTTTCTTAGCCATGTCGACTTATTTTATGGCCAAGTCGCGCGGGACTTGGCGAATCTAAAGGTCGGGGAAGGAGGCAGTCCCTTAATGATTAGGCTATAACACTCTGCAGAATTCAGTATACATAATATGTATAGTGTATGATTGCACCATATACAATATCATACACAAATTTCTTAAATTGGTGGAGATATGAGCATTCAAAAATTGCGGATTTATATGGGAATACAGAGCTCGCCCGTGGAATACGTTAACTAGTTAACCGAAGTCTAACTAACTACAGCCATCGCGTAATCATACCCAAAGCAACAGTGGCTAGGACAGTCCAACAATTTGCTGAACCAGTGTCTCGGGTACGCTGTGGGTCCCAAAAATCTGTTCGGAGCCCGAAGAGGGGAATGGTCCAGAAGTTGACTCTCAAGTCTCAATGTACTTTTTCGGGGCATTGCGGCAACTGGTCCCGCGGCACGCCATGATTCTTGGAAGTATATGGGGTTCCTGATCCTGCGGGAAACTGTTCCCGGGCGGTAACATTGTCCCTGCGACAAGCCATGGTATTTGGAAGTATCATGGCTATCCTACGGGGCTCCTGATCGTGCGGCAGACTGAGTCTTGCGGTGATCTCGGCCCTGCGGCAGGCCACGATTCTTGGAAGTATAATGGTTATCCTAAGGAGTTCCTGATCCTGCGGCAAGCTGGGCCATGCGGCAAATCACAGTTTTTAGGTAGAATAACGGGATTTATGGTCCTATGGCAGACTGAACTTGGCGGTAATTTCGGCCCTGCGGCAGACCACAGCTTTAGGAAAAGCGATGGATTTCTTACATATAGGCATTGTGGGAAATGTTGGGTTATATCACGTGGTCTTACTCCATACACGACTTGAAATAGTTTAAGGGAGGTTTGGTTAGGCGATAACAATTATTCTTTCAAATCAGTGGCGTATGCTCTTTGCTTCTCAATCCTAGCCCAACTACAATAAGGGTTTGACATTCAGGTGTTAGCTGATTCAATTGACAAGACCTATAAGGCTATTGTCACAACCTAGCTTCTCTTCGTATCGTAACCTAAGGTTCTAGTTAGTTAAGTCTCAGTTGGGGCACTCACCTGAGTGTCCTTCGTCGTCGTCGTTATATCGATAATGACCCTCCAGGTCTAAGTCGTAATGCGCCGCGTGGTATCTCGCCCCAG